TATAATATATATAAATATAATATAATTATATTAATAAAAACGTTACGTCGAGATAGCACGAAATATTTGCGCAATGTACATAGATGAGAAAAATCTTTTTCGTGTACAGATTGACACAAGAATGTATGCGTATTATATTTATAGAATACTTTGCATCCGGTTTTAGTTTCCCTCGGAATATCATGCAACCCTCTCGCCTGTCTAGCACACTGGGGTCATCGTAATCGTAAGGGGAGAGCGTGACTCGGTGCGGTCACGATGCGTCAGCCAATTAATTGATAAATCAGCATTTATGGGCGAAACGTGCTCGTCAAAATCGTCGCACCGTGACCGCAAATACTCAATTCGATGTGTTTGGCCAAAACATGTATATAATTTACAGCATGTTATAATTATATTGTATATAAGATTAAGAGATAAACGATAGAACATGTCAAAAGTTTGAAATATGAGAGAAAGGATGATTTGTAAAAATATAAAGAAGAGAATATATTGAATGTGTAAAATGAAACCATTCAATAAAAATTACATACCAGCAAATTTTGCAAATAATAATAAAGATGATGACTCAATTTATGGACGTCAAGTAATATATCTAATAATAATATCTAATAATAATAATAATAATATCTAATAATAATAATAATAATATCTAATAATAATTGTATAACTATCTATTAACGCATCGATCGATGGCGCTTTATCTTTTTGCAATCGAAAGAAATAGCGTAATGCATAAATTTGCATTTGTATGACTGCGGTAAATTAATTGATGTGTCTGGAAATGGCGGGTTGGCCAGACTCCGACTACGGCACCATGACACATCGTTGGCATCAATAATAATTCGCGGCCGTTATTAATCGAACGTGTAAGAAACGCGAGATGAGGTACGAGCGAGGCGCGGTTTCCGGGTACGCGAGTGGAGCGTGACGGCGCATAATTGCGAAACGTTAATCGGTTAATTAATAAGTAAATATCTACGGGGCGCAACGGCTGTTAATAATAGGCGAGGGAAGCGCCACGTAAACGATACATGGATGATTAATAATAACGCGATATCGCGCTCGCTCGTCCGTTCACTCACTAGATACGTTTAATGGCGCTGCTGCTGGCACGCAATTCGAATCGCGGGGGTATTCGACACCTGGGGGGGTTATGTCAGGAATTGTAATCCGTTTTCGCAGGAATCTCTCTTCTATATTTCCGTGTCCCGCGTGTTCGAATTACCCACACACCGGAGATGCCGCCCGAACGACGTAATCTAAGGCGCGACAAATTCCTTCTCAGTTTATCAAGAATTCGCGTTCGACGAAATGTGTTGCAAATATTAATGACTATCTAAAAAAAATCACGAGAATCGCTATAGCATGAGAATTTCGAGAGTCCTATTACTTGTTATCACTTTCATTATTTTGCCAAAATTTGATGTAAATGGTGTTGTATGTATTGATCTTGTTATATAATTTTATACTGAATAAACTGAATTTTTTTGCAATATAAAATAATATTCTATAAAACTGTTTACTGTTGCGAAATCGGACAATAATTTTTTTGTTGCAAATCGTGATATCTTGATCATTACAAAAATACAGTTTATTATATTTTCATTTTTTTTTAAACTGGGTTCGTTTAAAACTATTTTAAAAGACATTAACTACTACTTTATATTTAATTTAATTCTGACTCTGCAACTTAGTAAACTATTACAATGTAAAGAAATGAGGATAATTATATTCCCCTATTATTAAATTCATTATAAATTATTAAATTATGTAATAATTTACAGTCAATTTTTTCAGAAAAATGAAGAAACAAAATAATCAATATATTATAGTCGATCGACTCAATAATGACTCGATAATTGCCTTCATTTCTTTCAAACAGTCAAATTTATTTCAACCAATTCTCCCTGAAGATATTATATAATTAAAGGAGAAGTGCTGTTAATGTGATTCATATAAAGTAAATACACTCCAGTAAATACACTATAATAATCGACAACAGGAAAAATTCATTCTTCCTTTTTCTAGCATAGTGAAATGGATTTCAACAATTTGCTTGACAATATTAAATAAGTTAAATAGAAATACAGTTTATACAACCTGTAAGAAGAATTTTCATAAGAAATAACCAAATCAAGAATGAACCATGTTTTTGAGAGAAGCAACTTGACGCAATAATCAGATTTCGAATGATCAGAACGAATCATCTCGCAACATATAATATGGATCCCAGAACTGTCTATGAAAACTATCCCAGAATGCATAAGCGATCTCTCGCCCATCTGTATCCCAGACAGTCCCGGAGGGTGGTAATATTCCCGGTATCAAGGCTGGTTTTAACCCCCTGGTTTCGGGGGACGCTCACCAGGTGGCGATATCTC